GCTGGCAGTCTAAAAGGAAGAGCTGGAGGCTTCGGAACGGTTGGGGGACCGGTGGAGATTGTCAACAGCTCCACCGTCAGCATTCAGCATGCCAAAGCTGCGCTCACTGGTGGAGGTCTCTTCTCCTTCGATGACCTTGTAATTGCTGAGATGTCGAATCTGAGCATGTCCAATGTTTCCGCAGGTGCAGGTGGAGGTTTCTACGCGCAAAAAGCTTTGCGGGTCAATCATTCCACCGTCAGCATTCAGCATGCCACAGCTGCTGGTGGAGTTTTGTTCAATGCCTTGAAAACCTTGGAAGGTTCAGGTGGAGGTTTCTTAGTGGGTAAATCCGTTCAGATTGTCAATAGCTCCACCGTCAGCATTCAGCATGCCAGAAAATGGTGGAGGTTTCGCAGCCCTCAGTGACGTTGTAATTGCTGAGATGTCCAAGGTGAGTCTTTCCAATGTGTCTGCAAATGAAGGCGGAGGCTTCCATGTAGACGGGCGCTTGCAGGTGATCAACAGCTCCACCCTCAGCGTTCAGAATGCCAGAGCCGGAATATCTGGTGGGGGATTTCTTGCTCAAAAAGATGTTAACATTACAGGGATGTCGAAGGTAGAGATTTCAGACAGCCAAGCGGTCTTCGGACATGGCGGAGGCTTTGTGCCTGCTAAAGGTTTGCAGTTGACGGAGGGATCGGCAATTTTCATTGAGAACGCAACAGCCGGAGGAAAAGGAGGAGCTGCATATTCAGAAGGCAACGTTGTGATCAATAGCTCAAACGTCAGCATTCAGAATGCCACGGCTGGTACGCATGGTGGCGGTTTTCATTTTGGCGGCCTGAACATGTACAATGGTTTCATGGTCATCAACAATTCCCAAGCCAAGCAGACAAGCAGTGGAGGTTTCGTGGACAACCGAGCACTTCTTACGTCTCAGTCCCAGTTGGTGGTACGTCACGCCAAAGGAAATAACTCAGCAGTGTTGACAGCAGACTGCTTGCACATCCACCCCGGGTCTGCCTTTCTCATGGACAATGTCAAGGGAGGCCATGCAGTGATGTTGCAGAACAATGACTGCTCAAGTGACGGTGAGTGCTCAAAGAGAACTCTTCAAGTGAAAAGCGGTGGAGCTTTGAACGCAACAGGTCACTTGAGTTTGGCGTTTCTGTCCGTTGCAGCCTGCCCTAATGAAACGGTGCACCTCTCTGGTATCTCATGGTCCAGTCACAGTCCATTGCTCCGCCATCAGCGCCAGCCTGTGGAGATAGACGACGTCAGCATCCACTACCAGCCACCGCTCCAGAACTTGCTCATCAATTGTGAGGTGAGGATACTATTGCGCATCACTAAAAGATTGCGTTTAAAGGCTTAAAGTGTACATTTGTTGTATAACCACTGCTCAATAAAGGCAAGTCGTGTGCTGGAAAATGCAGGAACACCCCATTGAACAAGAAGTCTTCCATAGGCAGGGTGGCCCCCAGTAGTTGAAGCTCAAATATGACCAGTTGTTCTTCTCGGAGGGCGGCCCTCCAATTGACTATTGAACATCCACACACACAAAAAATGGGACCCTGTCGCATATCAGGGTCTTGAGATAAGAAATCTTCGGAACTTTGCCCTTCTAAACAGACCTCACCTGACCTTGCATCTCTGCAGGCTGGCTTCAAGATCAACTCTTTGGTCGCTACCTGTACAGCTTGCGCGCAGGGTGTCACATTGAACGCGACGAATCACATGCTGCAAGCCTTAAGCCCAAAAGATCGGCAGTGCCCCAGCAAAGTCACAGTGCCACTTGGTGCTGATTCTTGTATTCTATTGTATGATTCTGGCTTCCTGCGGTGCTGATATCAGTTGAAGATGTGCCTCGTGCCGGTCATGCTTTAGTTGAACTGGCAGTGTCGCATGAACGCTTCAATATCTCTTAAACCTATGTCATGCAACCCTTGAGGCTTGGTGAGTTGAACAGTTGAGCACATCCCCTGAATCGAGCATCAATAAACGGTTCCAAGCCGCGCCAGGTGTAGACAGTTTACGCTCAATATGTTCAAACACTTCTCATCATATAACCATATATCAGCATGCGTTCATGAAAATATGTCAATCCGTACTGCCGTACTACACTCTGAAAACACAATTACAGACGAAACTTCGAACACACAGACCAGGAGCTCGTACTTGGTGTTTACTATTTGTGACTCAGGTCGAGGGACAAAACCTCGCCTTGTGATTGTCCCACACACCAGATGCTTTGCCTTAGTAGTTTTTTTGGAACTTTGGAGATTCCAATGAGGCTTGCAATTCCATCATCAAATACTACGATGGTAAAGCTCTATCGTTAATTGTAAATTCTGAAGATGAAGTTGGCATTGCTGCTTACCGGTCCAAGGATCATAAAAGCGAACTTCCGTGGAAACGAGTCTGTGGCTTTGAAAGACCTTTTTGCAACCTGTCAGTCCTGTGACTCACCTGCAAGTGGCCAAATGTGTTGTGATGCCTACATGTCTACATGATGCAGTTGAGACTTGAGACTATTGAGGTTTCATGTTCATGAGGCCTGTTTCGTCACAGCTGCTGAGGTCACAACCACTCATACTATGACAATGGCACTTGTCGCAAGTGCGGAGTCCTTTGGGCTTGGTCTGATGGGAAGTCTGACAAGTGCCATTGGTTGCCGCGCGAGAATTGGCAGCTAGCATGCTTGTTGATGGGTGGAGCCATCATAGTGTTTCTGGCCTTTGTCCTCTTTGAGATCTTGATATCTCCACTGGTAGTTGTGGATGCAACCTCAGACCCTTTGGAGATAGCCAGCGAGAAGGTGTTTACCATCACCGCGCAAGGTCCCATTGTGGGTCTTCCCACATACCTTTCTCGCATTGTGCACTGGCTAGTTTCATATCGCGTAGAAGGCACAAGTTTGCAGTGGTTGGACTTTGACAAGAAATCCAAGAACACAGTCAAGGTTCGCAGCATTGGGAATGGAAAACTTCAGCTCCAGGATGTGTATGTGCCCTTTGATTGTGCTGCATGCAAGGGTGTCATGCATGCCACCAAGACTTTCCCATTGTTTGCCGTGCTCGCCGTATTTATATCAGTGGTTGTGTTGGTGCCTGTCACCTGGGTGGTTGCAGCGATGTCCGAGAATGGCTTTGGACATGTCCTTGCCGCTTTTGTTTGCATGACATGCTTTGAACATCTTTGAACATTTTAGCGACCGCTTAATTGAAACGTGTTGGTTTTGCAATGTTAAATCCAGCTGCTGGCTGATTTGCGATCGGATGAACTTTGTTGAGGTTACTGCCTTCTATTGTCTCCTTCCAACGGCGGTTGCAGCCGCGGTGCTTCACTTGCCGGTGGCGTGTCTTGTTGGCTGGTTCTATCGCAGAACACCATTCTCGGCGGCTTTGAACGAATACCACAAGCATATCCAATGCAAACCACATTTGGGCCGGGATGCCACTCATCCTCGCAATCAGGGCTTGATGGCCCTTACCTTGCAGGATTTGGGGAAACACTTCGAACGTTTCTCAATCTGTATGAGCGCTGTGCCTTTTGTTTGCAGGCTTACGGCTTATGTGTTTATTTGTTCATCAGACGTAATTGCCCTGTGACATTCCTTTACACGCTCAAGACACTGGAGACAATCCAAGTGAGGTTTCATCCTTGAGCGGAACATGCACTTCGTCGTCGCCAATATCGTAAGGCCTTTGGCGTGCAACAAACGGGAATCCTTTGTGACGCTGTGGGGTGGCCGGCAAGTGGACTACTTTGTGTCCCTTGGCCATGTCAGTGGCAGCGGTTATAACAAGACGTGCTTCTTTTCTTTTTTTCGGATGTTCGCGTGTTGCGTTTTAGTTGGTTGTACACTCCCTGAAATAGTTAATTATATACAACTATTGTATATGTGTTGTGCACTCCCCAAAGTAATCTTGGAAGTGGAGTTCATCACCTCTTTGGTCTTCGGAAGTCAGGGAATTCAGGGCCAATGCCATCCATGTAAAATGGTTGTATGCTCCAGCGTTCGGGTGTACAACCCCTCTTCCGGGAGGAAGAGCAACCACAACAACAACAGCAGCAACAACAACAACGCCATTCACGTAACCATGATGGAATCCACAGATTTGTTAGTGTTCCAGGAATGGTCATCCTAGGGGCCATGCCATTCACTGAACCATGATGATTTCACAGATTTGTGCGTTGTAGTGAAGATTTTCCCTTCGTATCCTACGCAGAAATTGTTGGAAGGTCGCACTCCTGGGGGACGAGCTTCTCGCACTTTGTGCGTTCCATCCGGAGTCATGCCATGTCCAAGGGAGGACAGACATGGACTGATGCCACCTATTGGATTTGCTCCTTCGCCACTGGGAATGCCTGAAACTGCTAGCCTTCAGAACTTCATTGTTTGTTAAGCAAGTATGTAACTTTATTTGATCAACACAAGATGTAGCTCTACAAGATCACCGAAGATTTATTAGCACGCTGTGTGACTTTTTTGCCCTTGATTTGTTTGGAGTCTTCTCATTTTCCTGGGCAGATGGGCTTTCGTTTTTGTGCAACTGGCAGAGTTGTGAACCAACAACAACCATAAACTATTGATCAAGGAAATATGCGGAGAGTGCTTAAGTGGACTGGAGAGATCGAAAAGCGCCATACACCACACTTTTTTGAGTTCTGTCGTTGTGTGCCTGTGCAGCCTGTTTTTTTTGACTTCCATGTGATTGATAGGTTCTTCCATCCTTCGTTCCAGCATCCACCGTTCATCTATTCTTCCTGCCTTCCTGCCTTCCTTCCTTCCTTCCTTCTGACAAAAATATTAATATACTCGCCAACAGCATAGTGATCTCGTGACATGGCAGGAAGCCCGGACATGACGTAGACTGTGCCCAGGTGACTGTGGAGCGCAATATAAGCCTGTGAGAAAGGTTCGGGATGGTGTTTGCACTGACGCAGTTGTGTGCACTAAGCGACCCCCCTGACCCATCTGGTTTAATTACTTGTATTTAAGCTGATGTATGGCTTGCTTTGGTCCACTTTGGATGGAAGCTTAGGCCAACAACCAATGGGACATTGAAGCTGAACTCGGAACTGATCCAATGGATAGCGCCTTCGCGCGTGCTTTGACCGGCGGGATCAAGGGAGTGGTCATGGTGTTGGATCAGCAAGTGCAGCCTCTCACCAGAGCCATGACTGCAACATGTCCAGCTTGAAGCATGTTCCATGAATGTCCACAGAACATCTCGCAGAACGTTGGGGCCCATGTCAAGATATTTGTTTATATACATATCTATAGTAATACATATATAATGTGTTTTATCTTTCGTGAGCTGACTTGATTTGTTCTTCATGTGCATAAGTCGGCATAAGGGATTGTTTTTGGGAAACTCACAAAATAAGCGCACTTCCTCACTCTTTGCAACACAGCCAAGTCACCAGGAGTGTGGTGCTTGTTCGAATTCTTCCTCTCCAGCCGCGAAAATCTCGAGTTGGATTTTGGAACGGATGCGGGTGTAATTGGAGATGCTACTTGGGCTTTGAAGTGTGCATGTTTGTCCTCTTGTTGCAACTCCAAAGAAAGCCGAGTACATTTGAGATGTAGAGAACATGTTCAAGCAAAAGAGAGCAGAATTCAAGAGCCCGTGTTGTATGTTCTGTAAGTCGATTCAGACAATCCTACATTTGCATTCTTTTGTGGCCGATCCTCTTCATTTGCGTCAGGATGGATGCACATCCTTTGACATCGCACTGGAAGTGGGCAGAAAGATCAAGTCTTTGCAAGTCGTGAACTGCGAAACATCCTCTGAAAAGGACAAGAAGCTCGTTTGGAATAAGCACAGACTTGACCTTTTTCTTGATCCTCCAATTCCTCCACCGATGCCCTTTTAAAAAAAGAGCAACAGTTCAGTTTGTCCACAGTACTCCTCTTTGTTAAACTCCAAACGGCGTTCTTCTCATGTTTGGATTATTTTCTGATCGCCCCGACAGCTTATGCTCATGGCTATGGCATGGCCATGTCAGGCAGGATATCTTCGACTACATTGTCTCGGAGCTTGGTAGTTTGGAACGGATGGATGAGCAAATCCGTTCATTGATGGGCAATATGTTGAAGAAGAATCTCTCAAATGTAGGACATGCGACAGAGACTCTCTTGCTCGAACTGGGTCAAATCTAATTAATGTCAATTGATGCACGCGAAGTAGCGTCGGCACTTTGGGTGAATGATGCTGAATTTATGTTGAGTGGATAGCTTTTCTGGGCAGAGCACAAGAGTTGCAACCCTTTGTGGGAAGCCCTGTTTCAAAGGTTCCAGATGCATCATGTTTCAATGCAATGTTGAGTCCGTGCACGCAGAAGGTCGTGGCTTTAATTCGGCATCATTTGCAGCTTCCTCAACTATAGAAGCGGTTTGACAACTCGGTCAGCAAGCAAGTTCTACATACAAGCTTCATCAAGCTTCAGACCAAACAACAAGTGGTGCCTATGTGGCTGTGGATATCTGTGGATGGCTGTAGGTCGGTAAAATCCTGAAGCCCTTTTTGACCGGTATTCTATTCTGTGCATCCACCGAGTGATGGGAAAAACCTCCACAGCCCAGCATTGCTTGTGGGTTCGCAGGTGAATCCCAGTTTTGACACATGTCCCGAGCCACCTGTGCCAATGGGTTGAGTGGTTGAGCAATCTGCTTAAATTCGATTGAGTCAGGAAGATCAAGCTATAGCAATGAGAAATCAAAAGGCGTTGACGAACTGCCAGCATGTGGCAGGGTTTCAGGCTATTGATTTTGGTCATTTCGCCCAATTCGCCAGAAACATCAGACGCTGGACATGCTGAGGTCCAGTTGTGAGCTTCAGGCGAAGCATTGAGCTGGCAGGAAGTTGATGTCTAGAGGCAACTTCATCTTTGAAGACACGGACACGAGGTTAAGTGCTGGTACTGAAGCATAGGCATGCTTGGGAAGAGGCGTGTTTATTACCAGGGAGCTTCTTCGCAGCTCATGAGCTGGGTGAAGACTCGAGTGGTGACGACCTAAGGATGGACCGATCGTATGCCTTTTTCGAGCGCAAGAGTCGAATAGTCGAAAACCCTTTTTTGAGAAGCCTCATTGCATGACATCTCATGACTAAAGCTTCCAGATACCAAGTTTGACTCTCAATGCATTGTGGCTCTAATTCACGTTTGTCGTTTGCAGCTTCCTGACTCACATGAACAACTAGCAAACCACTGTGGTTTGCAAGTCATTTCTGCATTAACGTAGTTTCAAACAAAACTGCTTTTATGGGCTTCTCACCCATCCGACAGTGCCACCTGTGCCAATGGGTGGAGTAGTTAACCGGTTTTGCATGACGAGCAGAGATATTATATGATATTTCGATGAGACATGTGCAGATTTGTTGCATATGATTCTTCACCAGCAAGCTCCAGTACTCGTACCCCGTCTATTTATTTGGCCGGAGCTTCAACGTATATTTGTAAGATTCTATAAGCATGTCAGTTGACTTGATTGCTGTGTTTGTATGTCCAAAGCATCGAA